GACAAGTAATTCCTTTCGTAATTATAGTAGAAACAGGTCTCGCTCTTGCTCAGGCTGGTTTTGAACTCCTGACCTGGAGCAATCCGCCCGCCTCGGCCTCCCAGAGTGCTAGGATTATAGGTATGAGCCACTGTGCCCAGCCTATTTTTATTTTTATTTATTTATTATTTATTTTGGAGACAGAGTCTCACTCTGTTGCCCAGACTAGAGTGCCATGGCGTCAGCCTAGCTCACAGCAGAAGGATCTCAAGCGATCCTTCTGCCTCTGCGTCCCAAGTAGCAGGGACTACAGACATGCGCCATCATGCCTGGCTAATTTTTTCTGTATATTTTTAGCTGTCCAATTAACTTCTTTCTATTTTTGGTAGAGACAGGGTCTCGCTTTTTTTTTTTTTGAGACAGAGTCTCACTCTGTTGCCTGGGCTAGAGTGACATGGCGTCAACCTAGCTCACAGCAACCTCAAACTCCCTTGGTCTCAAGCGATCTCCCTGCCTCGCCTCAAGTAGCTGGACTACAGGCATGCGCACCATGCCCGCTAATTTTTTCTATATATTTTATTGGCAGTTAATTTGTTTCTATTTTTAGTAGAAACGGGTCTCACTCTTGCTCAGGCTGGTCTGAACTCCTGACCTGAGCTATCCTCCCGCCTCAGCCTCCCAGAGTGCTAGGATTACAGGCGTGAGCCACGGTGCCTGGCCTACCATTATCTTTATTTTATTTTTGAGACAGAGTCTCACTTTGTTGTCCAGGCTAGAGTGAGTGCTGTGGCGTCAGCCCAGCTCACAGCAACCTCAATCTCCTGGGCTCAATGATCCTTCTGCCTCAGCCTCCCAAGTAGCTGGATACACAGGCATGCGCCACTATGCCTGGCTAATTTTTGTATATATATTTTTACTCGGTCAATTAATTTCTTCTATTTTTAGTAGAGACAGGGTCTCGTTCAGGCTGGTTTCGAAACTCCTGACCTTGAGCAATCACCTGCCTGCCTCCAGAGTGCTAGGATTATAGGCGTGGCCCCGCCAGCCTCGTTTTAAATAAAAATTCTAACAGGCCGGGCGCGTGGCTCACGCTGTAATCCGTAGCTTCTGGGAGGCCGAGGCGGGCGGATTGCTCCGAATCAGTTGCAAACAGCCTGACAAAGAGGAGACCCCGTCCTCTACTATAAAATAGAAGAATTTATTGGCCATAATTATATTACAAAAAATTAGCGGGCATGGGTGGCGAATGCCTGTAGTCCGCTACTTGGAGCTGAGCAGAATTCTTGACATTTGAGGGTTGCTGTGGAGCTAGGGCTGACGCCACGGATCACTCTAGCTGGGCAACAAAGCAGACTCTGTCTCAAAAAAAATAAAAATAAAAAAAATAAAAATAAATTTAAAATAATCAAAAAAATAAGAAATCGATCCACTCCACTGAAGAAGGATTCTATAGCACAAAAGGAACAATGAGCCACAAAGCAAACCCAACTCTGCAGGGCAGGAGTCCTTAAACACTCAAAAAAGGAACTCAGTTCAGATACATGTGGCACATGCCTGTGATTCCCCAGTACTTTGGGGAGCTGGAGGCAGAAGGATCACTTAAGCCCAGGAGGTGGAGGCTGCTGTGAGCCTGATGACACCCCTGCACCCAGCCTGGCACCTGTCTCAAACAGAAAAAGTGGAACTCACGCGTTGAAGCTAGGTTGCTGGACAACCCGGCACCTGGAACCTGGTGCCCACCAGGGGAAGAATCCGGGTCATCTACTTGCCGCTCCTGACCCCGGCTGTGCCCAGGGAGACTGAGAGCTGCCGAGGCTGCGTCTCCGGACACTGGGCAGTCCAGGAAAAGAGGAAACCAAGGTACTCAGGCCGCAGGTTCTTGGGGAGCCGTCTCTCAGCCGCAGCAGCCCATGTGCTCCCAGGGAGCACAGCTAGGTCACCAGGGGGTGGGCCGCCCAGCCCCATGACCGGACTGGACTGAATAAACCCTAACCAGGAACCTGACCCCAAACATCCTGGACGTGACCTGAACCTGACCAGAACCGACCAAATAATGGCCTGGGGCGACCTGAACCTGACCAGAACCTGACCCAAAATGCTGAACGTGACCTGAACTGACCAGAACCTGACCCAAACATGGCCTGGAGCTGACTGAACCTGACCAATGGGCCTACGTGACCTGAACCTGAACCAGAAGCCACCAAACCATGGCCTGGACATGCCTGAACCTGACCAGAACCTGACCCAAATATGGCCTGGACATGATCTGAACTGACAGAACCGACCAAATATGCCTGAAACGGAATTGAACCGCCAGAACCTGACCCAAATATGGCCTGGACGTGACCTGAACCTGACCAATGCCGACTACGACTGCCCAAATCCTGACTGATGACCGCAACCTGCCCAAAACATGGCTGCTGGGACGTGACTGAACCTGACCAGAACCTGACCCAAACAATGGCCTGACGTGACACTGAAGACTGACAACAGCCGCACAACTGACCAGACCGCAAATTTGGCCTGATATGACCTGAACGCTGACCAGAACCTGACCCAATAAGGCCTGGACGTGACTGAACCTGACCAGAATCCTGACCCAACATGGCCTGGACGTGACCTGAACCCGACCAAAACATGGCCCTGGGGCGTGACCTGAACCTGACCAGAACCTACCAAACCATGGCCCTGGACGTGAACTGAACCTGACCAAACTGACCCAATATGGCCTGGACGTGACCTGAACCTGACCAAACATGGCCCTGACGTGACCTGAACCTGAACCCAACATGCCTTGGACTGACCTGAACCTGACCAGAACTGACCATGCGCGGCAATACGAACTGCCAAATGGCCTGACGTGACCTGAACTGACCAGAACCTGACCCAAACATGGCCTTGGAGGTACTGAACCTGACCAGAAACCTGACCCAAACTATGGCCTGGCGTGACCTGAACCTTGACCAGCAACTGACCCAAATCATGGCTGAACGGCGAACGTGACATGAACCTGACCCAAACATGCCTACGTGACCATCTCTCTTGTGCACTCGGCAGTCCCTGTCCTGGGCCAAAACGGCCAGACGTGGGAACCTGGGCGGGCGGGGCCCGAGGGAACCACAAACACTTGCCGCCCTGCCTCGCTGGGCCGGAAACCCCCGGGACCTCTTCCCCGCGGGCCCGGCGGCCTCACCTTGCTCCGGTGGCCGCTGACGAGGCGGGTGCTGGCGCCCTCAGCCCAGCTGACGTACCAGAGCGTGCCGGCCGTGGTGCCCACCACGCCCATGTCCATGCCGTCATCGAAGCTGGCGCTCACCACAGCCCCGTCCAGGCTGAGCTCGTGCTCCATGAACACGGAACCGGACCTGCAGGTGGGGGAGCAGCGGGCGGCAGGCCTCTAGCAGGTTGTGTGGCCCGGCAGTGCCCTCCGGGCTGGGGGCTTCTGGGCCTGCCCCGGCCAGGGTCTGTGGCCCGTGGGCCCAGATCACGCCCAAGATGTCCCCACAGAGGGGCCAGCTGAGGACACAGCTACGGGGCAGCGTGCTGGCCTGTGGGCTCCCGGTCAGGGACAGCAGCCCGGCCTGCGGCTGGGCCACGCGGGAACGGGGCAGGCAGCCCACCTGGCGCTCCCACGTCGCAGGTCCGGCACGGTCCCCACGGCCCACAGACGCAGGCGCCTCGCGCCGCTGCCGCTGACCAGCCTGGAGCGCGAGCACAGCAGCACGCCTGGGGGCCAGACAGGGGCCTGAGCAGATTTCCCCAGACGCCCCAGGCCACAAGACGGCCTGGAGCCCAGGGCTGGAGACCAGGCCGCGCCTCTCGGCTGGGACAACAGTCCCGAGCCGCCGAGGGGCCCAGGCCCGGCTGGGCACCCACCGATCTCGCTGTCATCCGCCTCCCAGGCCAGGAAGCAGCGGCCCGCACGTGTGTCCCAGACGCACACCTGGCCGGCGCTGGAGCCACAGTAGAGCAGGGGGCGGGGCCCGTAGCACAGCGAGGTCAGCGCGCCCGCCCCCGCGGCCTTGGGGACTGGTTCCCGGTGCACCTGGCCGGACGAGAGGGGGGCCGCGGGTCAGCGATGCTCTAGACTCCGTCCCCCAAAACCGCCTCCGGACTCAAGCACCTGACCCAGGGCCCAGCACCTGGAGGCTGATGTCCGCCCCACGCTGCTGCAGGAGCCAGAAGGTGACGGCGCCCTGCCCCAAGCACGCCAGCTTGTCGGCGTCCCAGGGGTCGAAGGCCACGCCGCTTGCTGGCTCCAGGAGGCGGGTGCACCACAGGAGCGTGTAGGTGGCCGTGTTCCACAGGGCAAGGGTGCCGTCGCCGCTGTCCCCTGGGGAGGCCCATGGCGCCGTGTCAGAGACCCAGGTCCAGCCTCCCAGGGAAGCCCCCCTCCTCCGACTGCCCCGCCTGCTGACCCAGGGTGACCAGGAGCCTGTCGTCCGGCGAGAAGGCCAGGGCCTGGACAGCGGTGTCGTGGTGGGAGAGGAGATGCTGGCAGACGCCCCCAGACACGTCCCAGACGCGGATCTGGCAGTGGGCGGCTGTGCGGCTGCGGCGCGAGGCAGAAACCAGGACCTGGAAGGAGGAGGGCAGGTGGTCGGAGGGCAGGGCGTGGCCAGCGCCCCCCCACCCCCCCGCACTGTGTCGGGGGAGCCAGGACAGGGTCACGGGTGCTGTCCCTGGTGGCAAGAGCCAGCAGCGGCCCAGGAACCGCCCACGGCCCGCGGTGACCTGGCTTGGGTGCCCCAGCCAGGGTGGGCACCTGGGCGTCGCGGCTGAGGGCCAGTGTGGAGACCTCCTCGGGGTGGCCGAGCCAGTGCTGCTGGGCGCCGGAGTGCAGGTCCTCCACGACCACCAGGCGGCCGCACGTGTAGGCGAAGAAGCCTGCAGGTGGGGTGTGTGTGACGCCTGGAGGATGGCCTAGCGGGTTCGGGGCTCGCGCGAGGTGCGCCAGGACACCAGGAGGCGTCGCTGGGAGAACGCAGCACCCCAAGCCGATAGCCACGCTGGCCTGGCCCCTGGCCCCAGCCTCGGTGGACAGCGTGGGCCCCGCGGCTCCTCGGCCGGGTGTGGAGCAGGTGCCCGGCGCCCACCTGTGTCCGGCCTCCAGACCATGTTGGCCCGCCCGCTCCCGCTGTAGCCCAGGACGGCCTTCAGACGCAGGCCCGCACTGCTGGCGGCGGGGGAGGAGACGCTCTGCGAGGAAGTAGACCCGGCGCTGGTGCCAGCCTGCTCGGGCCCGGAGCCTGAGCACGGGCAGCTTTCTGGGGCTCACCCGGGCCGGCAGGCGAGGGCAGCTGGGAGCATGGACAGGGAAGCCGGGGTGGGAGACTGGAGCCGGCGACAGGCACGAGGCCAAGGACCATCAGGAAGGGCACCTGCCCGTGGGGGGAGCAGGTGGGGTCAGCAAGATGTCGGCGGGATGGCAGGAGCGTGAGTGCAGGGCAGGAGGGAGGGTGACAGGTCCCTGGGGCCCACAGCACTGTCCGTTTTGGAGACCAGAAGCAGCCCTGAGACCCCAGGGAACCCAAAGAGGGCCCCACACCCACGGGGGAGAAAAGGGCTCCGGGAAGCCACCCCGCCTCAGAGCGGGGCCGCGGCAGACCTTGGTGGGCGTCGTGTGGCCAGCCGGGAGGTCCTCATAGGAGCCCAGGTGGGCGCCGGGCTGGGCACCCCCCTTCCTGGTGCTCCGGGCACCTAGCAGGGAGAAGAAACTACGTGACTGACGTGGAACCACCCAGCAACCCTTCAGAGACGCCCGCCTCGCTGCGCAGTGAGAACTGCGTACAGACGGGCTGCGCCCCACCCACCACAGGACCCCGCACTCCCCATGCGCCCTGGAGGCCTCGTCCCATCACTGGGGGGACACCACCACTATGGGGCAGCCCCCCCTTCACTGGGATGCCACCCAGTCACCAGCGGGCCCTCCCTGCTACCTGGGTCGGCCTCAGGGAAAGGCAGGCGTGGCCAGCTCCCGGACCCACCTGCAGCCCCCAAGGCCCCATCTCCAGCCCCGCCGGCCTCCTCCTCCAGCACGCGTGGGCCTGCGGCCTGGCGAGGCCCCTCGGGGCCGTGGCTCTTCTCGCAGCGTCCTTCCTCGTCTGCCGTGGATAGTGCGCCTTCGGGGCAGTGGGGAGAGAAAAGGAGCCCGTCCCTGACCCTGCCCAGGCCTCCACCAGTGGGAGGCGGCGGCACCCACACCCCAGAGCTGGACACACACAGGTGCCTGCCGCAGTTCGGCCCCGAGATCTCCAGGACCCCCCAGGACCCCGCCCCTCACCATCACCGCCCTCGAGGGGCCCGGCACAGACGCCTGGCTGCGGTGCGGGTTCCTGCCACGGCACAGGCACGTGTGGCCGAGGGAGCCCGCCGGCCCCACACTCCGCGTCCTCCAGCTGTCCTGGGCCCAGGCCTAGGAATGAAGGAGCCACACTCAGGGCCGGGCTGGCTGGGGGGAGTGGCCACGCTCCCACCCCTGGGGAAGGCGGGGGTACCATGAGGCCTGAGGTGGCCGCAGGGCCAGCCCTAGGGACGAGCAGGACACCTGCAGCGTTCCCACCCCTGCCCTCTCCCACTGAGCAGGGGCCACTCACCGGCCTCACAGGTTGGGGGGGACCTGGACAAGCTCCAGTCACTGCAGGGGCAAGGAGGAGGTGTCAGGGGCCTGGTAGGAGACCAGGGCAGACACGGTCCAGGACAGACACTTGCCTCTCAGAGGCGGCCATGATGTCCCAGAGGAAGATGGCATCCCCCACGCTGAGGACCTGCCGCTGGTCGGGGGTGAAGGCCACAGCCTGCACGGGCTCTGAGTGGCCGATGTACACCTGGGGGCAGCAGGTGTCACACACAGGGATCCGAGGTGCGGCTGTGGACCCTGTGCTATTACACCCAGGTCTGGCACGAGCCCCAGACCCGCCGGACTGGGCGGAGCAGGAGGTACCATGCAGCCCTGGGCCCCAGCAGGGGGAGGGTCCCGGGGGTCACCCCCCCACTCCTCACCCCCACACACCTGGGAGCCGGGGCTGGGCTGTGCCGCATAGTCCCACACCGTGACAGCTCGGCCGGCGGCTGTCAGCAGCAAGCAGGCGTCCTCGCTGAGGGCCAGGGAGGGGCAGGCCCTGGGGTGGGCACCGCGCAGCTGCGAGAGTTCCTGCAGGTCGGCAGGCGGCCTGGGAGCCTCCTCTCCTCGCTCAGTGTGGCCACGCACCCCCACCCCTCGGAGGGGCTGCGGGCAGAGGCTGGGACAGGAGGAAAGGGAAGGGCAGGCCACTGGCCGAGACCCCAGGCTCACCTCCCGGACGGTGCGGCCTGATGCGGCGTCCAGCACCACAACTCTGCCGGACGACGTGGACACCAGCAGGTGGCCCAGGGCCGTGGGGCCGAAGCACACGGCCACAGTGGAGTCCAGGTCCGGGGTACCGACCTCGACCCGCAGCAGCTGGGGGACAGCAGGCGGCCGAGGGTCTGGACCTCCCGCAGAGCCAGCTGACCCAGAGCCAGGCTCGGGAGGGAGGCAGCCTCCGGGAATGCTCCCTGACACCTGGGCGCCACCTGCCCCGTGTGGGAGCCTGCCCTCCCCTAGGGGAGCCCGCTGGCCCAGCACCCCCCGGGTCCTGCTGCAGCGTGACCACAGCCTCCCGCCTGCCCTGCCCCTCACGCTGCTCGCCTGGCTGGGGAGGGCCTCGCACAGCCATAGTGGAGAGTGCAGACTGGGCTTTCCCGCTGGCCTGGCCAGGCCCACCAGCCCGGAGCAGCAGGCCCCGCCAACCCACCTCGTCTAGGGAGGCTGGGTCGACGACAGTCACTGTGCACTTGGAGGGGCCCAAGAAGGCCAGCAGGCGGCCGTCCCCGCTGACTGCCAGGGCGCTGGGGCTTGGGTGGGCATCTGGGCACACTGAGTGGGCTGTGGCACACGGGGCAGGGGTCAGCCGGGTGGGGCAGGGCCTGCTGCGCCCTCAGGAAACACCAGCCGGGAAGCAGGTCCCTCGGCACCCACAGGGCATGGGCGTAGGAGCCAGAGGCCACCAAGCACCAGGTGCCACCAGGGGCGCTGAGAGTCCTTGTGGGCGCGGAGTGACTGCCAAGCGACCGCTGGCCAGTCGAGTCACAGTGGCCGTGGACAGAGCAGACACGCCTAGGCTGCGCCTGATCCCCCTGCTGCCTTGGCGGTTGGGCCCCCCAGCTCCTCCAGGGCACAGAACCCAGTGAGCCTCCGGCTTTGGGGACTGAAGAACCCTAAAACCTTACCCTCCCCCGGGTCTGGACGAGGCTACAGAAGGCAGCTGCGCAGCCCACACAGGACTCGTTAAGTGGACCAGGACCCGAGCCCCGAGTTTCACACCCAGGGCCACCCCCGCCCACGGCGACCAGCCTGACCTGCCACGCGCAGGACGCAGCACCGGGGCCCAGCACAGCTGTGCTGCACCAGGCTGCCCTGAGAGCAGGCGCTGAACAGGAGGTTGCCGTCTGGAGTGACAGCCAGGCTAGTGATGGCTCCTCGGGGACACCTGCGGCAGAAACGGACAGCCACTGGCCTCGGCCCCACTGGGAGCCGTGCTGTTCCCAGCCCTCCAGCCACCAGGCCTGGCTCAGGGCAGCGCTGCCTCCCTGCAGTGACCCTCTGCTGCCCAGCGAACACCCCCTGGGATCCAACAGCCCCGGCCCGCCCCCAGCTTCCACTGCGGGTCTCTGTGAAGCCCAGGTGGCCCCCAGGGGGCTGGCGGCTGGCAGGGCACCCACGTGTGTTCCACCAGGACCTCGGTGGCCTCCAGGCTGAAGGCGCGCACAGCCCCGCTGCTGAAGCCGCAGAAGAAGGCCGGCCGCGTGGGGTGGAAGGTGACGGCACACGGGGCCTCATCGGGTGACGTGAAGTCATACAGCTGCAGGGCAGAGGCTGGCAAGGAGGGGGCCGGGGCCACAAGAGCCTGGGGGTGAGGGCTCTCCGGCAGGCCCCCCTGGCATGGCCTCTGGCCCCCTCGCCCTCCCTGCCCCACCACACGCCACCTGCTGCAGGGTGGCCAGGTCCCAGACGCGGACGGTGTGGTCATGGGACGCGGTGACCAGCAGCCCACGGCTCTGCTCCGTGGAGAAAGCCAGCACGGGGGCCGTGTGGGCACGGGCCAGCACACTGTACTCCCGTGACGCCACGTCCAGGAAGCCCAGGTGGCCCGTGGTGGTGGCGGACAGCACTCGGAGGCCATCGGGGCTGATGCAGATGGAGCTGACGGGGCCCTCATGCTCTGGGGACGGGAGGGTGACCAGAGCTGGCCCCAGGCAACTCCCTGCTGCTCCGGCATCTGGGTCCCCAACACCCAGACAGATCCACTCCCTCCCTCAGGACCCCAGGTCCCCCACGGGCTGGGAGGGGCAGCTCCCTGAGACCACCACCCCAGCCTCACCCACCACCCACTGCTCCCGGACCCTGTGTGAAGCCAGCGCGGGCAGTCCCAGCAGCCATGGGTCCTGGACTCAAGACGCAGGCCCTTGGCCCCGGGACGCCCGTCCAGCCCGAGCCCTCCCTCCCACACCACAGGACCCCCAGCGGCTGCTCCCCTGGCCAAGGGCAGACTCAGCCTCACCCGCCTCCAGCAGCACTGAGGAGAAGTCCCGGGGCCAGAGCCGCAGGTAGCCATCCTCGGAGCCCACGGCACACAGGGCCAGGGACACGCTGAGGGTGCTGATGGCGATGCCAGGGCCTGGGGGGCTGGGAGGTCAGTGCTCAGCATTGATACTACCCCCCTCCCTGCCCCACAGCGGGCGCCCCTACCTGAGCCGAGGGTCTGTGGCTGTGGGCAGGGCCCACTGGAGGTCCGTGTGGGCAGCAGGCAGCGGGCGCACTGCAGGGCCCTGCGCTGGGGGTCGATCTCCAGGACATGGCCACTGGGGCTGCTCACATAGCTGTCCGAGGGGGCGGCGGGTGAGGGGGCTCCCTGGTGGGGGCAGGGGGCAGGGCGTGGGGCAGGGCAGGGCGCGCAGGGTGGGGCGGGGCTCACAGCATTGGGGCCGAGGGCTCCGGGCCGCTGTGCTGGGCCTGCTCGAAGGCCAGGTCGGTGAACTGCAGCGCTCTGTGCTCCCCGAGGTCCACGGGGCAGGAGCGCAGCTCCCCGCCGCGTAGCCGCCACAGCCGCACGCTGCCCTGCCCGCACGATGCCATCCTGCGAGGACGTGTGCCCCAGTGAGCGCGCCTAGGGCCCTCTACCCTCAAGAAGACCATCAGACACGCAGGGACCAAGGTTGCAACTGAGGGCCCGGGGCCCAGCCCCACCCCGCGCCCAGACGCCGCCCCAGCACTGCAAACGGCCGCCACGCCGCACCTGGTTCCATCAAAGGAGGCGACCCGGAAAGCCTGGATGTCAAAGTCAGTGCGCACCTTCGCGAGGACAGCCACCTCACCGCCAAGGCCCACGGGGCCTGTGTCCCAAGCCACCACCACCTGCGACAAGCCCACTCTGAGCTCCAGGGTGCAGACGCCCCGCCCTGCCCGCTCTCCCGCCTGGATGGGGTTCCACCCGCGCTCAGGCTGCCCTGGGTGGAGGGAACTGGCCCCTGCGCCTGCGCGCTCCAAGATGTGTGGCGGCTTTGGGGCGCCCAGAGACGGAAAGTGCCATGACCCACGAGGAGGAAGGCAGGTAAGAATTGAGCAGTGTGGAGACACGCGAGGATGCTCCGGCACTGCCCAGATGCACACGAGTCGACTTCGGAGGTGCTGCGAGTAAAGACCCAGTGGGAACACGCCCCCAGGGAGAACAGGCCAGTCATTCAAACACCAGCTTAAAGCAAAGACTGTTGCCTAATGATCGAAAAGCGGAAGTGTGGGCCGGGTGCAGTGGCTCCTAGCACTCTGGGAGGCTGAGGCAGGAGGATTGCTCAAGGTCAGGAGTTCGAAACCAGCCTGAGCAAGAGCTAGAGTGGACATGGCGTCAACCTAGCTCACAGCAACCTCAAACTCCTGGTCCTCCAAGCGATCCCTCCTGCCTCAGCCTCCCAAGTAGCTGGGACTACAGGCATGCGCCACCATGCCGGCTAATTTTTTCTATATATTTTAGCTGGCCAGTTAATTTGTTTCTATTTTTAGTAGAAACGGGTGGTCTCACTCCTTGGCTCAGGCTGGTCTCGAACTCCTGACCTTGAGCTATCCTCCCGCCCTCAGCCCTCCCAGAGTGCTAGGATTACAGGCGTGGAGACAGGGTCTCGCTCTTTTTTTTGAACAAGGTCTACTCTTGTTGCTGGTGCTAGAGTGACTTGGTCAACCTAGCTCACAGCAACCTCCAAACTCCTGGTCTCAAGCGACCTCCTGGCCTAGCTCCCAAGTAGCGGACCTACAGCATGCGCACCATGCCGCTATTTTTATATATTTTTAGCTGGCCAGTTCATTTTTTATTTTTATAGAAACGGGTCTCACTCTTGCTCAGGCTGGTCTCGAACTCCTGACCTTGAGCTATCCTCCCGCCTCAGCCTCCCAGAGTGCTAGGATTACAGGCGTGAGCCACGGTGCCTGGCCTACCATTATCTTTATTTTATTTTTGAGACAGAGTCTCACTTTGTTGTCCAGGCTAGAGTGAGTGCTGTGGCGTCAGCCCAGCTCACAGCAACCTCAATCTCCTGGGCTCAAGTGATCCTTCTGCCTCAGCCTCCCAAGTAGCTGGTACTACAGGCATGCGCCACTATGCCTGGCTAATTTTTTGTATATATATTTTTACTCGGTCAATTAATTTCTTTCTATTTTTAGTAGAGACAGGGTCTCGTTCAGGCTGGTTTCGAACTCCTGACCTTGAGCAATCCACCTGCCTTGGCCTTCCAGAGTGCTAGGATTATAGGCGTGAGCCACCACGCCCAGCCTCTCTTTAAATAATAAATTTCTAAACAGGCCGGGCGCGGTGGCTCACGCCTGTAATCCTAGCTCTCTGGGAGGCGCGAGGCGGGCGGATTGCTCGAGGTCAGGAGTTCGAAACCAGCCTGAGCAAGAGCGAGACCCGTCTCTACTATAAATAGAAGGAAATTAATTGGCCAACTAATATATATAAATTAGCAGGCATGGTGGTGAATGCCTGTAGTCCCAGCTACTTGGGAGGCTGAGGCAGGAGGATTGCTTGAGCCGGAGTTTGAGGTTGCTGTGAGCTAGGCTGACGCCACGGCACTCAGTCTAGCCTGGGCAACAAAGCGAGACTCTGTCTCAAAAAAAAAATA